CATAGAAGTCCAGAAGGTCTTCTGATAGAAGACCAGAAGGTCTTCTCATAGAAGTGCAAAAGGTCTTCTCATAGAAGACTAGAAGGTCTTCTCATAGAAGAGCATAAGGTCTTCTGAAGTCCAAAAAGTCTTCTGATAGAAGTCCAAAAGGACTTCTGATAGAAGAGCAGAAGGTCTTCTCATAGAATGACAGAAGGTCTTATCATAGAAGAGTAAAAGGTCTTCTCATAGAAGAGCAGAAGGTCTTCAAATAGAAGACCAGAAGGACTTTTCATAGAAGACCAGAAGGTCTTCTCATAGAAGAGCAGGAGGTCTTCTCATAGAAGAGCAGGAGGTCTTCTCATAGAAGAGCAGGAGGTCTTCTCATAGCAGACCAGAAGGTCTTCTGATAGAGGAGCAGAAGGTCTTCTCATGGAAACCCAAAAAGATCTTCTCAGGACGACCAGCAGGTCTTCTCTTCTTCTTCTTTGCCTATATGGTTTTCAATATGTCCCGAACATTAAAGTTCTGGAATAACCTAAAATTTCATATCATTTGGTCGCCATGGGCAGAATCTTTGTCAAAAGAAAATCAATAACAAAAACTGGGGAAATATTCCATGGAAATTATTGCATTTCTGTTGATCTTTAAATATTTCCGGCTTTCCTTGAACGAAACACACACTCACTCACCAACACCCAGCTCTTTCACGTGGTCGTTGCTGTTGCAAATCCGGTCTATAATGTTGTGTTATAAGTTATGCTCCATTTAAACACGTTTACATGACATGCACTTGGTTTCTTCGAACCCAATCGCGATGGGCAAAAAAAAAAACGGTAGGGTAAAATGCAAAATGGGTTATGTTATAAAAAAAATGATTTCGAAACATAACCTCAAAAACAAGTAAAAAAGCTGTAAGTTCGGCCGGGCCGAACTTTGAATACCCTCCACCACCATTTGGTACAAATTTGGCAATTTTCAAAAAATAAAATCCGTTAAAAATTCTGTTAAAATCTTAAAAATACCGAATGAAACCGTATATTAGGGTCTATACGACGACGTGGACCTGCATAGGCAACTTTTGTCATAAGCTATTACAATATTCAAATGCGAAACTTGAAAAAAAATCTATTTATATGGTAGCTAAAATCATCAAAATACCAAATATAGGGAGGTACCATGGGGTTATAAAACGTGGACCTGCAGAGACAATTTTCTGTCTTAGGCTGTAGTATCCATTACGAACTTCAAATACGAAATTTGAATTAAATTCTCGCGAATAATACCGAATATCGGGGGTACCGCTATATGGGGGCTATACGAAGACGTGGACCAGCACGGCCAACTTTCTGTCTTAGGCTGTAGTATCCATTACGAACTTCAACTACCAAATTTGAAACAATTCCGGTAAATAATGTCGCTTAAATTGTCAAAATACCGAATATCGGGAGGTACCGTTATATGGGCGCTATACGAAAACGTGGACCTGCAAAGACAGTTTTCTGTCTTAGGCTGTTGTATTCATTACGAACTTCAAATACCAAATTTGAAACAATTCCGCTAAATAATGTCGCTAAAATCATCAAAATACCGAATATCGGGAGGTACCGTTATATGGGGGCTATACGAAAACGTGAACCTATATGGCTCATTTTAAAAACCAAAAGTCCTGCAGACATAATATTACGTTTTAGTAAATTTTTATCAACTTACTTCATTTCGTTCGGAAGCTAGAGTGATTTCCACAGACGGATATACGGACGGACATCGCTAAATCGACATAGAATTTTATGCTGATGAAGAATATATACTACAGGTGTTAGAAACGGAATGACAAACTTAATTTACCCTCCATACTATGGTGGAGGGTACAGGGTTGCCCATATTCGACGGACCCATGTTATTTTCGATGACTCTTTGGGCCCATTCCAATCGACGAGGCTTGTCCGCAGGTAACATTCTTTGCGTCAATTGAATTTTGTACGGAAACAAATGCAAATCAATGCGAATAAAGTTGTAAAGTGGACCGAGCCATGCCCAACTGCTGAGAACGGCGTTTTTGGGATGTTCTTGGGGACCTCTCAACACTGGCTCGTACGGCAGCGATATTCTCGACCGATCGCCTTGGTTGACTTTTATATGGCCTCTTCGGATTAGAAAGAGCCTTACCAGTCGAAAATTTTTCGTATAAACTCTTAATGGTGTTCTTAGAAGGCGCACTTCTCACATTTTTTAATGTTTTCACAATTGACTTCTTGTAAATTTCAACTATTTCAGAGCGCTTGCGTGGCGTGTATTGGTTCATGGTAAAAATCTGCTTGGACTGACGCTTCAAACGCGGTATGTCATTGAGCAATGTGACATCTCTGTCAAAAGTTATGGCATTGCCAGATGGGTCCGTCGAATATGGGCAACCCTGTATAAAAATATAATGGTGGACACTGCTATGACATCACAAGAAGTATTAAATGTTTTATTCTTCCGAAGAGTGGTTCTTATTTCGTACATGGACAATTACGATTTTTTAAAACTTGGGTTCAAATCCTTGCTCCTTATTCCAAAATTTTATATTTAGACCCCTTTGCGTTCTAGCCATCCCCAGTCAAACACCTTTAAGTCTAAATATGTTTGAATGTATGTACGTGTGCTCATAGAAAACATAGGCATAATATAAAATCCATATTTGCATAAAGCTCCGCACACACATACACTTATATGTGGTTATATTTCCAACAACAGCAACAATACCTACAACTATCCAGATATCCTTGTGCTTATATAAAATTTATATAAAACTACCGGGTTCAATAGACTGAACAATCACCAGTTTCCATTTTCTTATGCACACACACACCCTTCCCCCACACACACACACACATAAGATTGCACAATCCTTTATAAACATTTATATCCTTCAACATATACCACATGCCTACATACAAATGTAAATATGTATGCAAGGTTTGCAAAATGTGAGTTGTCAAGTATTAAATGTTTCTACTTTGGCACTCCATTTCCTTAATACCCCCCGTTCCACGTTCCACACACCCGGATGAACAAATGTTTTCCTCTTTCAAGGATAATGGCATTGGCAATGCCTGAAATGGGGGTGATCAGAAATTTTTGCCGGGCAATAACAATGTAATTACATTTACTTGGATTCTACCGAGAATGGCAAAGATTTGTAGTTGTTTTTTTGGGGTAGATTTTGGCATAGATTTCAGGGATTATACAGCAATACCAATACTTATTTGCACAACTAACCAGAAAAAATTAAGTGATTGTAGATAAGTTTTGGCAAAAGGAGGTAGTAGTAGTAGTTGTTAGTTGTGTGAGACGAAAAAACATATTGGGAAGTTTACCACAAAAAATTAAAGATTAGACGTTAGAGAGGTTCCATTTGAGAGAGGGTATAAAAAAAATTTTTTCTCTAGATTTTCCAGATATATAGAAAAATACGTCTGGTGTCACAACCCAAAAGGACTTCTCATAGAAGCCCAAGAAGGTCTTCTCATGAAAGACCAGAAGGTCTTCTCATAGAAGACCAGAAGGTCTTCTCATAGAAGACCAGAAGGTCTTCTCATAGAAGAAGACCAGAAGGTCTTCTCATAGAAGAAGACCAGAATGTCTTCTCATAGAAGAAGACCAGAAGGTCTTCTCATAGAAGAAGACCAGAAGGTCTTCTCATAGAAGAAGACCAGAAGGTCTTCTCATAGAAGAAGATCAGAAGGTCTTCTCATAGAAGAAGACCAGAAGGTCTTCTCATAGAAGAAGACCAGAAGGTCTTCTCATAGAAGAAGACCAGAAGGTCTTCTCATAGAAGAAGACCAGAAGGTCTTCTCATAGTAGAAGACCAGAAGGTCTTCTCATAGTAGAAGACCAGAAGGTCTTATCATAGTAGAAGACCAGAAGGTCTTCTCATAGTAGAAGACCATAAGGTCTTCTCATAGTAGAAGACCATAAGGTCTTCTCATAGTAGAAGACCAGAAGGTCTTCTCATAGAAGAAGACCAGAATGTCTTCTCATAGAAGAAGACCAGAATGTCTTCTCATAGAAGACCAGAAGGTCTTCTCATAGAAGACCAGAAGGTCTTCTCATAGAAGACCAGAAGGTCTTCTCATAGAAGACCAGAAGGTCTTCTCATAGAAGACCAGAAGGTCTTCTCATAGAAGACCAGAAGGTCTTCTCGTAGAAACCCAGAAGGTCTTCTCATAGAAGAGCAGAGGGTCTTCTCACAGAAGCCCAGAAGGTCTTCTCATAGAAGCCCAGAAGGTCTTCTCATAGAAGACCAGAAGGTCTTCTCATAGAAGACCAGAAGGTCTTCTCATAGAAGACCAGAAGGTCTTCTCATAGAAGAGCAGAAGTTCTTCTCATAGAAGAGCAGAAGGTCTTCTCATAGAAGCCCAAAAGGTCTTCTCATGGAAGACCCGAATGGTCTCCTCATAAAAGACCGGAAGATGTTCCCATAGAAGACCAGAAGGTCTTCTCATAGAAACCCAAAAGGTCTTCTCATAGAAGCTCAAAAGGTCTTCGCATAGAAGCCTAAAAGGTCTTCTCATAGAAGAGCAGAAGGTATTCTCATAGAAGAGCAGAAGGTCTTCTCATAGAAGCCCAAAGTAGTAGTCTTCGCATAAACGCCTAAAAGGTCTTCTCATACAAGCCTAAAGAAGAAGTTTTTTCATAGAAGCCCAAAAGGTCTTCTCATAGAAGACTAAAAGGACTTCTCTTAGAAGACCAATAGGTCTTCTCTTAGAAGACCAATAGGTCTTCTCTTAGAAGACCAATAGGTCTTCTCATAGAAGCCCAATAAGTCTTCTCATAGAAGCCCGAAAGGTCTTCTCATAGAAGCCCGAAAGGTCTTCTCATAGAAGTCCAAAAGGTCTTCTCATAGAAGCCCAAAAGGTCTTCTCATAGAAGTCCAAAAGGTCTTCTCATTGAACCCCAAAAGGTCTTATTAAAGAGGGTCAAAAGGTCTTTTCATTGAAGATCCTTCTCATAAATAATTGTCCATAATCTGCAAATTTTTGTTTGTTTTAATTTTTTATTTAATTTATTTTTATTTTTTTTTTTTGATTTTTTGGTAGCTTGTTATGGTTTGACACAAGTTTACACGCATACACAGGGACAGGGAACATACAAGCACACATGAAAGTTGAGCACCAGCGCAAGGATATTAGAATTTTTTATATCTCCTTTGTTTTTTTCTAGGTTATGTACAATTAACAACACAAAACATTGATTATGTACGGTAATGTAAGGAAAATATTCAGAAATGTTTATAACTAATTAAAATTACAGTTGAAATATTGAAATAATTTAATTTCAATATTTCAAGTGCAATTTTAGTTGTGGGTCATGGAATCACAAGAAAACATACAAAACCACAAAGAGAAAGACTTGCAACAAAATGCTTGGCGAGAATCAACTTTTGAAACTTATTCGATTTAACAAAAATCAACCGCGGCATTGATTTAAGAAAATTCCAAAGTGATCCTGTTGAGCAAGCATACACTGATAAGGAAGGAAAACAAAAAAATGGGGGGGGGGGGTAGAGATTATAGTATAAAAAGAGGGGGAATATCAAAGTAAACCTATTGACTTTTATATATTTGTGCACGAATAGACAAAAGAATACTTTACTTTGATGCGAGGGGACAAAGGACAATAATTACAACAGTGGCCACTGGGGGACAAAACGACCTAAACAAGATCATATCTTTAATTAAGATTTCTTCAAATTTTGCGTGACTTTTCTTAACCTCAAAAAGTCATTGGAAAATTTCAAGAAATCTCTTACTTTACTCCTCACTTAACAAAATACCAGCTTTTGTTAGGAAATTTGAAGAGAAGATATGATGGAGGGGGACCTAACTTAATTCTAAGAATTTTTCTATTTGTGTTTAACTAAGCTTAGTTCTATTGGTGGAATTTTCCTTACATTAGGCACAATGTTTTTCTTTTTTATGACGAACATATAACATAAAAATACACAAAAACACAACAAACATTTAAACATAGATATAGGAACATACATAAAATAACATAAACATTACAAAAATTTTGAAAATTTTTTTCTTAAGTTAAAACAGCGTTCCGTGGCAGATTGATTTTCGTTTAGAGCTTAAAATATTGGGAGTTTTAAAAGCAGCTTTATCACATATGATTTCAATATTCCAACTGAGATTCTATTAATCGCAATACACGCTGGCGACCAATGTTATTCCAGAATACATATGGCTCCGAAGCTCCGGTGACATTTCGGGGTTCGCTGGAAGTAGAAAAGAGGAAAATTATTTTGCTGCAGGTTTTTGATAAATTATTTCCAAATATGTAAGGTATTGCAAATTATTGGAGTAAGTATTATAAAAAATCCACGACTTTGTTTAGAGTTTTAAAAATATTTTAAAAAATCCACAACCGTATCTTGAATTTTAAAAATATTTAAAAAAAATCCACGACTGTGTTTAGAGCTTTAAAAATATTTAAAAAAATCCACGACTGTGTTTAGAGCTTTAAAAATATTTTTAAAAAATCCACGACTGTGTTTAGAGCTTTAAAAATATTTTTAAAAAATCCACGACTGTGTTTAGAGCTTTAAAAATATTTTTAAAAATTCCACGACTGTGTTTAGAGCTTTAAAAATATTTTTAAAAAATCCACGACCGTGTTTAGAGCTTTAAGAATATTTTTAAAAAATCCACGACTGTGTTTAGAGCTTTAAAAATATTTTTAAAAAATCCACGACTGTGTTTAGAGCTTTAAAAGTATTTTTAAAAAATCCACGACTTTGTTTAGAGTTTTAAAATGATTTTTAAAAAATCCACGACTGTGTTTAGAGCTTTAAAAATATTTTAAAAAAATCCACGACTGTGTTTAGAGCTTTAAAAATATTTTAAAAAAATCCACGACTGTGTTTAGAGCTTTAAAAATATTTTTAAAAAATCCACGACTGTGTTTAGAGCTTTAAAAATATTTTTAAAAAAATCCACGTCTGTGTTTAGAGCTTTAAAATGTTTTTAAAAAGTCTACGACAGTGTTTAGAGCTTTAAAAACATTTTTAAAAAATCCACGACTGTGTTTAGAGCTTTAAAAACATTTTTAAAAAATCCACGACTGTGTTTAGAGCTTTAAAAATATATTTAAAAAATCCACGACTGTGTTTAGGGCTTTAAAAATATTTTTAAAAAATCCACGACTGTGTTTAGAGCTTTAAAAATATTCTTAAAAAATCCACGACTGTGTTTAGAGCTTTAAAAATATTTTTAAAAAATCCACGACTGTGTTTAGAGCTTTAAAAATGTTTTTAAAAAATCCACGACTGTGTTTAGAGCTTTAAAAATATTTTTATAAAGTCCATGACTTTGTTTGGAGCTGTAAAAATATTTTAAAAAATCCACGACTTTATTTACTTGTCTTTCAAAATACTCTGTTAAGAGCTTTCAAAATTATTTTAAAAACCCCACGGCTATGTTTAAAGCTTTCAAAATAGTTTTAGAAAATCCACGACTATTTTTAGAGCTTTAAATATATTTTTTTTTTTTAAATTTACGACTTATTTTGGAGCATTCAAAATATTTTTTAAAAATCCTTTAATGTATCCTGAGCTTTTAAAATATTTTTTAAAAATCCACAAAATTTTTTAAGAACTTTTTTTGATAAATCAACGTTTTGGGAATATTAATTAAAAATATTAATTTAAAAAATCTTCCCTCAGTACTGCCAACTTACTTCTGATAGCAATCGAACCTCACGACACCTTTATCATTCACCAAACACTTCCAGATATCAATGACTATTAAATTATTGCGTTCCGCTTCAGATTTAATGAATTTATTGAAACGTTCCAGTGTACGTTTCATTTCCATATCATGTGTATAGTTGGCCAAGGGCGCCAATGTGGTTAGAATCGGTTGTATACCTTTTTTCAGCATTATAGTAAGTAATTCCCGGTATTCATGTTCGATTTGTATCAATTGACGTCCCTGCATTATGTTAACTGAACCGATATTCAGAATAATCGAACGACCATTGTCTTGAAGGCCAATGACACGTTTAATGGCAGCACCAATTGTTTGGCCCGACACACAAAGACCGGATTGTAAAACTTTCTGACCTGAAATATCCATACAAAATTATTTGTGTTATCTGAATGTCTTCCAAATGAAAATGGCACCTACGTTTTTTGAATTTACACCTAAGCTCCATGCGGGCCATGTACAAAAAGAAATCATCTCCCAGCAAAAGAAAATCCAGAAGATGTGCCTCATAATCGCTGTCGGCATACAAGGAATCGTTTGTATAACAACTTTTGGTGGTGGGCGATGATGATCTACTCGAGCGAGGCATTATACTTTTCTGCGTCCCATAAGATGAACGACGAGGATTTGTTGCTGTGGCACCAACACCACCATCACCACCGCCGCCGGGATTTTCACCACCAAGTATCATATTATTATGTGTGTTTATTGGCAATTCTTGGTTTTGAAATAAATTATTTAAATAATTCATATTATTTTCACATGAAGGCATGGCAATATTTGTTTGCATATTGAAATTACTCTGGCCACCAGTTGGTATTCCATTAAAGAATTGTTGTAAATTTTGATGTTGTTGGTCATCAGCGGCAATATACATATCACTGCTGGGTACCATCATTTGATTGGCATAGATATTGGTGGCAACAGGATCTTGGCTGTGGATCCGATTGAGTCTGTAAAAGAAAAGGAAATGGGAATTAATATTGTCACGCATGTACTAAATTAAACTCTTTCTACTCACAAATAATTACAATTATCATTATAGATCCAATTGTCCTCCACGAAACCTTCGGAATTATCTTGCACCACCAGTTTATCGGTATTGGCACTTTTCAGCATCAGATTTTCGGTGACAACAGCATTTTGAGATAATATTTGATTCGAAGATGGCACCACATGTTGTTGCTGTTGTTGTGGCCCATCGGATTTTATCTGAATTGGTTCATAGAAATGATGCTGATGCGGCTGTTGAGGTTGCTGATTTTGATAATTACGTCTGTAATTATTTGGATAGTAATTTGTATTCCTTTGGTGCTCACGATAACGTCGATGATTAAAAGACGACGGTTTGTTCGTGGTCTCCTGATGAGGTTTCTGTTCCATAACCATATTATGAATATGTTTGGTTTTCTCCATGGGTCGTATATTGAAGATACGTGTACCATTCTCATTGCAATAGGCCGAGACATATGGTATGGTGAGAAGAAATTCCGTAACCGACTCATAAATTGGAAATGTGAGGCCGGTTAATTTGCGATAATCATCTGGAATGGAAAATAACATTAAAAATGGAAATATTAGATATTTAAAAAAAGTTCTGAAAAGAAAATATTTGAATAAAAATAAATTCCGATAAATTCCATATTCATCTCAGATTTCTGGTTAAGAGAAATATTTAGGCAAGTCGTAAAGAAATGCCGACTTTTTTCACAAGTTATGACAGATATAAGTAATGGAAATTGTGACCCTTTGAGGTGAGGGTGAGGTACCAGAAGAGGTTGGCAGATATATATCGTCTTCATCTTCAGAACAGATCTGAGTTAGTAAAAATATTTGGATGTGTGAAATTTTAAGGGATGCTTATTTCGCTTTCTTCGAGCGTTTTGTTTTTCAAAATCTTTAACCCTATGTGGGGGAGGTACCAGAAGAAATGGTGCGATCTCTGTCATTTTTAAAACAGATATTGTTTTGATGGAAATATTGAGACTTACCAAGTCTGGAATGGAATCGGATGTTAATTTCACGTTTCATAGACATGCAAAATTTTGAACATTTGTGGGGGAGGTACCAGCAGAAGTGGTGATGGTTCACACCAGAGCTTGGGTTAATAAAAAAATTGTGATGTGTGTAATTTAAAGAGAACCGGATGCTTATTTCGGATTTTATGATCGTTTTGGTTATTCAAAACTTTGACCCTTTGTGGGGGAGGCACCAGAAGGAATGGTTCGATCTCTACCATCTTTATAACATATCCTGTTTTGATGGAAATATTGAGGTGTACCATGTCTGAATGGAATCGGATATTAATTTCGTGTTTTATGAGATTCATGGATATTCAAAATTTTGACTCTTTGTAGGGGAGGTATCAGAAGGAGTATACCGATATATTCCATCTTCACATCAGACCTTGGGTTAATAAAAATATTATGATGTGTATAATTTAAAGACAATCGGACACTAACATCAAATTTTATAAGAGTTATAATTTTTCAAAATTTTGAACCATTTGTGGGGGAGGTACTCGATGAAGTTGACCGATATTGTCCTATTTCCCTACCTAGCTTTGATGTAAATATTAGGATTCGCAAAGTTGGAGCAAATTCGGATCGTCCTTTCTCTTTCTGTGCAGTAAATTATTTTCTTTGAAAATGTTGACATTTTGTGGTGGAGGTACAAGAAGGAGTGGACCGATATTGCCCATCTCCGAACTCGATCTTAGCTTGACAATAATATTACTATGTACCAAGTTTGGATCAAATCGGATACTCCCTTCGAGAGTTAGCGTGCGCACCAGCCAGACGGACAAACGGACGGACATCGCTAGATCGACTCCAAATGTCCTGAAACGGATTTTGTCCAAAGAGCCCTAGGGCCTAAAACCGTTATTTCGATTCGCCACGTTTTGGTCGTATCAAATGATATATACCCTCTCTAGCCATATGGCTGAGGGTATAGAATCGTAGTCCTCTCTTACCTCTTATATCCGATATGGTAGCACCATCCTGAGCACGTGCTGTCAGAATACTGCGAATTTCGGAATCCAAATCGGGATACTCATCACGTATTTCCAAAAAAGTTAACTCCGAAACAACCATATCGTTAGCGTTCTCCTCTTCCACCACCTGCTGATGCTGCTCGTCGTTGTCGTCCCTTGCTAGTGTTGTTGTCGAAGAGGTTATCGAGCTTTGAAAGATCTCGAAACTTTCTTCAACACTATGATAGGCACTATCGACTGAGTTACGACGACGTTGACTGCAATAATTTTCCTGTTCTGTGAAATAACTGCCAAGGTGGGAGGAGGTTGAAGTTGAAATGTTGCTGGTTCTTACCAAAGTTGATGATAACAGCTTGGCCACAATTTCAACTTTACGATCGTCTTGTGGATGAGGGCCCTCTTCTTCTCTTCTCTCGTCGGCGATCGTTGATACTGGTGTTGTTGCTTTTGTTGAAATTGTGGTACGACGACGCTGGCGCAGCTCTTTTGGTATTAGAATTTTATATAGTTTTGTATTCAGCGTTTTACAATACACCGTCGTACGCTGCATAAAAGATGAACCCACTCTAGATGTTGGTGATGCACTGTAGTGGGTGTGAAATCTTAAAAACTCCTTGCGTGTATATCTTTTAAACCATTTATCACTGTTTTGTTGGCACGGGCATTGATGATGGCATTCTTCTTCACTTAATTGCTGTTCTTGCTGCTGGTGTTCATTTGAAGTTATTGGCGATTTCTTGCTTGACTTATTGTTGGAAGAATGCTTTTGCCGCCAACGTTGTAGACACGTGGTTAGATGTCGTTTGAACGTTGAACGAAAATCACAACCGTTCGAAACGCTGTTTGAATTGGATTTGATCGTGGTCTCCTCCATATGATGGGGTTCAGAAGTTGTTTTTGCTTTCATCGTATTCGTTGACTTGACCGTGGCCATTGAAGATGCAATTCAATGACAACGCCGCTCACACAAACAACTGAATGAATTGAATTCTGCTTATTTCATACTTTCCAATGATTGTAAAAGTAACGGTGCTTTGGAGATTTGTTTTTGCAAAGTACTGCCCAAGCCATATTCCAGTGCTGTGGTTTGGAGTGTAGGGGAGAAAGAGTCGACTAGTTGTTTGACAATGGAATGAAGAGTTTGCAATGAGGCCAATGGCAGCGATGTGATGATATTCACCTTGAAAATGTCAAAACACACACTGAAGTGGAATCCATCCCAATAGGAAATTTATAAACTGATTCCTTTTGGGCCTAAGTAAATCTGCAATTAATTCAGATTAACTTTGTTATTGATACCCAATTGAAAATACACTGTAATGACAAATATCGTCCCATTAGGGGGCTCGTCACAATATCTTAACACATAAAGGTTATGGGGATTTTTGCCAGGTCAAGTAAAAACATATCATACCCGAACCAAATTGGACTCCGTTGTTGCATCTGTACACAAAAACACCTCATACGAGCAGTTAGAAATTAGGCCAGGCTGTTCTTAGGCGTGGGATAAAAAAAACAGGAATTTAATATTGGGATATTGATCACTGGACACTTCTCATTTTTCAACATACTTATTCGATTTCTTAATCAAACTTTTATTGATAAATTAGTAGACAAAATTCCGATGGCAAAGGACTGAATCTAAAAGGAAATGCAATTTAAAAAGAGTTTTTAAATAAACTTTGAAAATACCTCTGTATTGGAAATTCATTAACTGAAGAGATTTACTGCTACCACGTCCAGCTTCAAATCATTACCGAACAGATGCATGGATACTATCCAGATACCAGACCAAATTATAAACCTAAATGTAAATAGAAGTTGCTAGCCACTGAGATCTAAAATGCAAATTCAAAATAATGAAAATAAAAAGTTATGACAATGTAGGGTTTATACCAAATGGTGGAGCTTGGAATATTAAATAATTTTTTAGGGGTTGAATAACTACCCATTGACCTAAAAATAAATAGTGGAGTGAACTTGAAAATTTTGCAAGGAGATGTACTATTTACTAAGAATCCAAAATGGAAAATTAACTTTTTTGTTTGGAAATGACTGAGGCTGACACTTCCAAATGCTGAAATCTGGTGATATGATGGCTCTGTTACAAGGAACCGATGATTTCCAATGCTAAACATCCCGGACATGTGTCATGTCATAAGGTAGTGTGATTTCTCGACGATGGTCACATGAGTTTTTTGAGGAATGGTAAAGGGAATGGCCAAAATATAGTTGTACACTTGTTTTCAGAACACCAATTTTCTCGCCCGGCATCCAGTATTGGCTTGATTACTATGAAAAATGTTGGAAGTCATAAAGAACTAAATTAAAACAGTTTTACTTATATGTACATACCTTAATTTTATCCGCAGTTCAATGATTCTTCTAATTTTCGTTTTTCAGTTCTATTGCTTCTTTGAAAGATTTCCAAACCTTCCATGACCCTCAATTCATGCCAGCCTCGGTCAAACAGTGTAATATCGGCCTGATGAGCCGTTGACCGCGTTATTTCTTGTAGAGAATCGATTTCCAGCTTGCATGGACGATATTGTACAAAAACAACAACAAATATTTGAAATCACATCACTTGTCTATTTGTTTTCAATTTTATATATTTTATAATTGTTTAATATTTTAACACAAATTGGCAAAAACTACTTTGCTTTATTCTGTACAGTTCTCTTTTCAATGTAAAAAAATACCCGCCATTTCTTCCGTTTACTGTCATATAATAAATAGTGAATACGTAACGTAACGCATACCCACCTAAGCATGAATTGACAAGAGAGAGAGAGAGAGCTACACATTAATGAGCGAATAATGAGGGAACATAATGAGGCTGTATTTATTATTTATTTTAATTGAGCATTTGAAATAAAAAATAAATAAAATCATATGGTACCATAGCCCTACCTTGATTTTATTGTACCATGGATTGAACAATTTTTTAAAACTACTGATACAGCCCTGAGGCTATGTCCGCTTTCTGTTAAAATTATTAAAAATTATATACAACAAGTTATTCTCCTTTCTGAAATTTCTCCTCATTTTTGAAATGGATTCTCCTTCAAAAACATGAACCTAACCGTTCAGTATTCCAATTCCATGGCAAAAATGATTAATCCTAGTGGGCCATTCACCCATTCACCCATTTACGTATCTTCTATTCATTGATTTGAAAAAAAAATTGCTTTTATTTTTGAAAATAATAAATACATACACAGAATTGACAGAAGTTGGACATTTTTCCATATTTAATTTAAATGATTTTAATGAAAACTCTACCTTGCTGCCTGCCTTTTCCGTTGAATTTGCTTGTTATTAAATTTTTGCGCGCCTTTTTTCCCTGTGGTTTTGTACTTCACCATTTTTCCCTTTTTATTATCATCTCTATGTTTTTTCTCTCCTCATTCTCCTTTTTCTCTTTCGCTTTCGTACGAATTGCTTCAACTGTTAGTTATTGCCAATTTCGCTACTATTGTTTTGCAACTGTTAAACTTTTATTCAAAAAAATAAGCTTTGTGCTTTTTTTGCAACTGTGCAACTTGCTCCACTCGGCAATCATTAACTTGACGTTTAGTATTACGGTAGGCAAATAATTTATTATTGAAGGAAATTTCGTAGAATTTAGTTAATTTTAATTGTACAATTCTTTTTTAAATAGAACATTCACATACAATGGCTTCGGTTATTACGCGCAGCAATCTGCTAAAGGAAATAATCAATCCCAAAGTCGGTCAAAAGGTAAATTTCTCCAACGAAAAGAAAAAATGCAAAAATTCAAACAAATATTTTTACATAATTGGCGAAATGAAAAAAAGCTATTCGTCCGTCATCTATCTACGGTCAAGGTGATGATGCAGGGGAAGGGAGAGAATGAAATTTAAACAATTTCATTTTATGTGTGTGAAGAGCAGTAGCATTTGAAGAAAGCTGAAAAATAATTAACAAAATATGTGTGACGTAACATATTTTTCACGGAGATTATAGTGTACATTTCTCCCCCTCGAGTGGGATGATGTGTTTGTTTGTTAGTTTGCCAGTCAGTCAGCCAGCCAGCTGCAGTGTTTTGTTTTTGTTTGAACCCCAAAGAAAATAAATGTGAGTGAGTTGGGGAAAGAAAGCAATTCGAGAAAAAGTGAAGGTATTTTTTTTATCAATGTTAATCTGAAATAAAAATCGAACGAAGGTGATGTCAATGGCGAACCTTGTACATCTAATTTTATGCCACAAAATTGGACAAACTTTTGTTTGTTTTGCAAAATTTCAAAAAGAATTTCTTATCACCGGTAAAGCAACTGCTGATTTGATTTTTAATCAGCCATGGAAGTCCCAAGCCCCCACCACTTTTGACGTCACTTATGCGGCCCAAAAATGTATGCTGGCAAAAACCCTGTGACTCACTCTAAAAATCTCGTGACTTGTTGTTGTTTGACATCTAGCGAATAACATTCCAGTTTTTAGTTTTAAATCAATTCTGTTGCTGGGTCTAATCTTTTTTAATATTTGTTTTTGATTTTGTCTGCTGTTTGTTTAGTTATCACCGCGTTCAAGATTGTTTGGAGTGCGACAAATGTTAGGCTGTATTGGTGACCATGATTTATATATTTACATACATAGCTTTGTCGTGTTGTTTGTTTTAATTTGTTATTCTAATTTGTTATTATATATGTTTTTCTATTACAGATTTTGGGTTCTGTTGCTGCTGTCCAAAGCCAACAACAACGTAATCTAAACGTACAGGAACATGTTTCCTATAAGCTCTTGAACGATGGCGGCATTGCTACACCCAAGTAAGTGATATTCAATTCAAACAAGTTGTTATTTTAAATTTATATTTTTAATTGTTATTCAGAAATTGTGGGATTGAGAGGTCTTAACAATGCAACTTAGAGAAAGTGTTAGGTTCCATTTTGTTTTACATTTTCGCAATGGATAATTTAGGAAAAAATTGAAAAAATCTTCTGTGAACATATCCCTACATAGGTTATCCTTATGAAATTAGTTTATAGAAGTGCCTTTTTAGCTCGGAAGGCGTTGTTTCACTGGAAAGTCATTGCGTTAACAATAAAATTTTAGAAGATTAGTTCACAATAATGTTTAAATAATAGCAATAGGCAACTAGCACGCCTGCTCCAACACCACTTTGAAGCCTTTGGGAATTTAACTTAAATTTTTATCTAAACCGAAGTAAGTAGTAGAAATGAATTTAAACAGGTTGTAATTTAAATACTTATTTTTACACTCTCAGCTACAGAGGCTATACATCATTTGATACGACCAAAACGTGCCTTATCGAAATAAAGGTTTTAGACCCTAAGACTCTTTGGACCAAATCCGTTTCAGGACATTTGGAGTTGATCTAGCGATGTCTGTCCGTCCATCTGTCTGTATGGCTGACTGGTGCGCACGATAACTCTCGAAGGGAGTATCCGATTCAAACATGGTACATCGTTATTTTATTGTCAAACTTAGATCGAGCTCGGAGATGTGCAATATTGGCCCACTATTCTGGTATCTCCCTCACAAAATTTCAATATTTTTAAAGAAAATAATTTCCTGCACAGAAAGATTAATGATAATTTGATTTTGCTCTAACTTTGCAAATCCTAATATTTGCGTCAGTGCTAGGTTAGGTACGAAAATGGACTTTATCGATCCACTTCCTCACAAAGGGTTAACCTTTTGAATAATTACAACTCTTATAAAATGTGATGCAAGAGTCCGATGGTCTATAAATTTCACACATCTCAATATCTTCATTAACCCAAGGTCTGGTGTGAAGATGGATCGATCCACTCCTTCTGGTACCTTCCCCATAAAGGGTCAAAATGTTGAATATTCATGAAGCTCGTAAAGCACGAATTTAACATCCGATTCCATTCAGGCATGTCACATCTCAATTTTTCCGTAAACACGATGGTAGAGATCGGATCATTCCTTCTGGTACCTGCCCCCCAAATGGTCAACGTTTTGTATAACCAAAACGATCATAAAATCCGAAATCCGGTTCTCTTCAAATAACACACGGCACTATAGTTTTATTAAACCAAGGTCTGGG